CCCCCACACCTTCTCCGGGCCGAACCGCCCCTTGTGTGGTTTATCACTGTAGCTATCCAACCATAAGCAGCCCCCCGGCCAGTCCAGACCGAGCATTGATTTCTCCAGGGCTTTCAGGCAGCACTGAAGTGCCCCCTCCCTTTCCTCCCACCCCTTTTCCGTTCAGCGCACGTTTCATCTCGCTTTTCTTTTCATATAACCAACATCGACTGTAGTTTATTATTAGTTTTTTCGCGCCGTCAAGTGTATACCGAGCGATTCGCGAGGACAGCACTGAAAAGAGAAAAAGAGAAGTTTCCCTCCCAGACTTGCCGTTATTACATTCGGCGTTATTACATGTATTTCATGGATCAGGCGTACAGACTATTGCGTGAGTTTGTTGTTACACCCTCGATTATAATGTTAAATTACGCGTTTTGGAAGAAAGGAAGAGCATCTAGCAACTACACTGTGTAAAGTCCCTTTTATTTAAGTTATTATTATTATTGACAATTATTCTATTGCCACATGTTGGCGAAGTAGGATTATGACTGAAGTAAGTAGGAAGACCACCCTGCAAACCCAATAGGGTACTTAATACACATAAAAGAGATACGCAGTACACTCATCTTAATGTGTAAACACATGTGTATACACTTTCCATGGTACAAGTAGAAGGTGTGTAGGCAGTGATGTCATTTGCATCTGTAAACAAAAATCAAAAAGCAAACGCAAATGGGACAGAGAGAGAGAGGGAGAGAGCGAGCTGATGGCATGCTAACTCGCTCGTGACGCTGAGCGAGCTCGAATATGGGTTTTAGATCGTTCTAGATTTCGGCAATATCGTGGCAAATCTTGTCATCTTTTCCTCCTCCCCGCGCTGTGCGGTAGCTAGGCACAGGGAGCACTACACCCAGTTGAAGGGAGGGGGTGGAGGGCGATAAGCCCGGTTCAAACACGGGCCGCGGCTGTTAGCGCGAGCATCAACGGAACACGCCAGGATTATACCTTCATATTTCACCGGCCTTAACGAGCAGGCGCGGAGCTCCTCCACCTCCCCTGCACTTTACGTGTGTCTGTCGATCCTCGACACCTTGTCGCCTCGTTCGCGCCGCTTTTCCTCAATCTCATACGTACTTCAACGCACACTGTGATAACAAAATGCGCTTGGAATTTTTCGTAAAAGGCTTGAGTTCAAGATTAATTTGCTCTTTGAAAGTTGGTTTCCATTTTTGTAAGACTTTTCCCTATTTATAAAACTGGCCATCAGC